CTAAATCCCAAAACCCTACAAAACCCTACAAACCCCTATAAACCCCACAGCCCTAAACCCTGAATCCCACAAACCCTACAAACCCTATAAACCCCACAAAACCCTAAACCCTACAAACCCTGAAAACTTCCTAAAACCCTTTGCGAACCCCCAAAAACCTGCAAACCCTAAACCCTGAACCCTAAAACCTGTAAACCCTAACCCTGACTTGGTTTCACCCTAAACCCGAAACCCTAAGCCCTAAACCCCGAACCCTAAACCCCAAAGCCTATACACCCCGACCCCTGACTCGGTCTCAGCTAGAGGTGCTTCTTTGCGGATCTTCACGGCACCGTGGGGAGCCTGCTTGGGGGGGGGGGGGATTTAGGGTTTAGGGTTTAGGGCTGCAAGTGTGTAGGGCTTCGGGTGTAAGGGCTTAGGGCTTCAAAGGTCTTAAGGGGCTTTGTAGTCTTTAAGGGTGTAGGGTTTCGGGTTTCAAGGTTTTATAGTTTTTAATAATTTAGGGGTTTCGGGGCTTTAAGGGCTCTAAGGGTTTTGAGGGCTTAGGGCTTAAGGGGTGGCGCTATCCCCACCCCCGCTTGCGCCCCACCCTTGTCTTGACCTGTGCGGGTTAAGGGCACCCTTGCTTTCTGATCGCGGGGTTTGAAGTTTAGGGTTTAGGGTTTATAAGGTTTATAAGGCTTATAAGCCTTATAAGGTTTATAAGGTTTAGGGTTTAATTTGCGTTTAGGGCACCCTTGCTTTCTGACATCGCGGTCTTGCTTTCAATCGCGTTTGAACTGGGGGAGGGATTGTAGGTTCCTTTTTTTGGGTGGTCATCGACAAGCTGAGTCGAAACCCTGAACTCCAACAGGAGGTCAAGGGGATCATCATGTGAGAGTTTTCGGGTTTAGGGTTGAGGTCTTAGGGTTGAGGGTTGAGGGTTGAGGGCTTCTTTCTGAATCACTGAACCCTAAGGGTCCATGTACCTATATAGCATATACTTGGGCCTTAAAGGGGGTTCCCATATAGTAGCTTTAGGGCCCAAGTATATACTATGTGGGTACATGGACCCTTAGGGGAATTCGTACACCTTGCCGACTCCAAACTCCGCAGCGTCTAGGAACCTCTAAAAAATAGCCAGATCGATTCAAATGTCCAAATGCAAATTTAGAAAAATCCTAAGCCCGCAAAGGCCCTAGAGCTTGGATGCCTCGAAATTGTACCCTCGGGGGTTGCCCTAACCCTGACCCCGATATAGGGTTTGGGAAATTCAGGGTCCAGACCCTACAACCCCTCCAAGCCCTCCAGACCCTCAATACACCCCAAGTCAGCCCCAAATAAGCCCTCTAAACCCTGTATCCACCCTAAACCCTAAACCCTAAACCCTGTAAACCCTATAAACCCTATAAACCCTGTAAACCCTATAATAAACCCTATAAACCCAATAAACCCTATAAACCCTATAAACCCTACAAACCCGATAAACCCTATAAACCCTCTAAACCCTAAACCCTATTTCATAAAGCCCTCATCCGCAAAAGCCTTGGAAGGAGCCCTTCCTTGGTTTCGCCGGGCTCGGCTTTGCTCTGCCCGTCGGGCTTGGTGACTTCCATGCGCGCCTGGCGCGTCTTCTTTGGGAGCTCTTGGGGGGGGGGGGGGGGGGGGGGGGTGGGGGTTTAGGGTTTGGGGTTTAGGGTTTAGGTCTTAGGGTTTAGGGTTTAGGGTTTAGAGCTTAGGAATTAGGGTTTAGGGTTTAAGGTTCAAGGTTTCGGGTTTGTAGCCCAGAGTTCCCCTTGTAGCACCAAGTCCATACCATGACAGTATCGCTAAACGCTAAACCTTAAACCCTGAGCAAGCCGTCTTTTTGGGTACCTAAACCCTAAAACCCTAAACCCTAAACTCTAAACCCTAAACCCTAAACCCTAAACCCTAAACCCTAAGCCCTAAGCCCTAAGCCCTAAGCCCTAAACCCTAAACCCTAAACCTATAGACTCTGGACTCGCCTTCAGGGATTGGGAATGATCCAAGCCCTTTTAAGGTGTTGCATGGGGACCCGCCGCTCCCGCCCCCCCAGGTTCTAGGGTTTAAGGTTTAGGGTTTAGGGTTTAGGGTTGATTCCTAAATCCTTGAATCCCTAAGCCCCTAAGTGCTTAGGTTACAAGGTACCCTAACTTCTCGAGTCCCTCTACCTTTCCCCCAAATTCTGAAGTCCCTGAGCTCTGACGTCCCTAAACCCTAAACCCTAAACCCTAAACCCTAAACCCTAAACCCTAAACCCTAAACCCTAAACCCTAAACCCTAAACCCTAAACCCTAAACCGTGCAAAAGGATCCGTCGGGGGCTCTCGGCTTGAAGTTGCTTGAGGGTGCGAAGGGTTGGTGCATCAAGGCCTTTTTCACCCCCCCCCCCCCCCAGGTTGTAGGGTTTAAGGTTTAGGGTTTAGGGGTTAGGTTTAATTAGGGTTTAGGGTTTAGGGCCCCTAAACCAATAGCTCATTCGACACTGGCCAGGATCTCCAGCTGGAAGTCTCCGGAGCCTACAGGCCTGCCTGGATTCCAAAACGCAAGCCCCGAACCCTAAGCTCTAAGCACTCCTAAGCCCTAAACCCTAAATCCTAAACCCTAAACCCTAAGTAGACAAACCTAGTACTTGCTTGAGAACCCCCAAAAAACACAACAAGGAATATGTTGTTTTACCTCTCTTTTTTGCGGGGGAGGGGGGGGGGGGGGGGGAGGGGGGGTTCTTAAGCAAATAGTAGCAAATTGCCTTCATTATGGGGGAAACCTAGGGGGGGGGGGGGGGAGTATAGAGGGGGGTAGTAGGGGAACCCATGAATTGCCCATCAGATCTCGTCCCTAAACCCTAAACCCTAAACCCTAAACCCTAAACCCTAAACCTTCAACCCTAAACCCTAAACCCTAAACCTCAAGGGCTTTGGAGTGCAGATGCAGGCCCTGGAAAGCCTTCGGCCAAGCTGCGCTGTGCACTCTCGCCTGACATTGGTGAGGAGGGGGCCCTCAACGCCCTAAACCCTAAGCCCTTAATCCGAAGACAGGTCTGATCCCAAAACCCTAAACCCTAAACCCTAAACTCTAAACCCTAAACCCTAAACCCTAAACCCTAAACCCTAAACCCTAACCCCTAAACCCTAATCCTGAACACGCTAAACAGGGAAGACGTCAACACAGCTGCAGGAGCCCCCAAGGCACCAGATAGCTCAAGGAGTTTAGGGGTATGCAGAAGTGCTTGCTGGAGCTCAGGCAATGTGATGCTGGCATATGAGCTACAGAAGCGCTTGCGTGCCTCTTGGCGGTGCCCTAAAACCCGAACCTTAAATCCTGACACAGTAAACCCTAACCTGAACCCTAAACCTCAAGCACCCTACACCCTAAACCCTACACCCTAAACCTCAAGCACCCAAGAGCCCCTTGGTTTCCCTAAACCCTGCACCCTAAAGCCCTACCTTAAGCCCTAAAGCCCTAAGGCCTAAACCCTAAACCCTCAACCCTAAACCCTAAACCCTAAACCCTAAACCCTAAACCCTAAACCCCAAACCCCAAACCCTAACCCTAACCCTCCAGCTAAGAACTCGAACGACCGCAGCGTTGCCGCGATCTGCTTCGACCCTGGCCCACTTGCAACAGCCTGGGATCTGTACAGGCCATGGAGGTTTAGGGGTGTGGGGTTTAGGGCTTAGGGCTTAGGGCTTAGTGCTTATAGGGCTTAGGGTTTAGGGTTTAGGGTTTAGGGTTTAGGGTTCAGGGTTTAGGGTTTAGGGTTGGGGGGGTTAGGCAAGCATGACTGGTTCCCTTTCTAGGAAATCCCGGCCTGCAGCTCAACCCAACCCAGATTCGGGATAGGGCGTGTGGGCCACGTGCCTGCTAAGCCCTAGAACCCTAAACCCTAAAATTCACCCTAAACCCTAAACCCTGAACAGAACCTGCGCTCGGCGAGGGCCGAGGTTCCCTTCTAATTCCAAACGCCACCGAGAAGAATGGTTTTTTTCGGTTTGGGGTTTGAGGACTTAGGGTTTTGTGTTTCAAGTTGAGGGTTTAGGACATTCCCCCCCCACAAGAGAGAGAGAGAGAGAGACTATACCGGCCGTTGCAATGAGGGGACAGTTTTGAGGGGACTTCAGGTAAACCTTAAACCCTAAACCTGAAACTCAAACTCCCGAAACCCTAGCACCACCCCCTGAAGCTCTCAAACTCTCAAGCCCTCACGCCGCAAAGAACCCTAAACCCTAAACCCTAAACCCTAAACCCTAAACCCTAAACCCTAAACCCTAAACCCTAAACCCTAAACCCTAAACCCTAAACCCTAAACCCTAAACCGACGCTGGACCCGGTGGCTGACGCAGGCAGGAGGAAAACCGCTGGCCGGCGACAGGCGCTCCTTGCGAGGGTTTAGGGTTTAGGGTTTAGGGTTTTCGGTTCAGGTGAAGAAGTTGAAGGTTCAGGGCTTATAGTGTTAAGGAGTTGACAAAGGTTCAGGACGTCCTGGTTGAATATGTTGGCATTTGAGCTGTGTAGGTTTGAGGGATGAAGTGTGCGGGGGTGGAATGCATTCTCCAGGCCTGCCAAAACGCATGTTGCTTGCGGCGGGAAGGACGGGGGAAATGCGTTTTCCAGGCCTTTCAAAACGGATTCTGCTTGCGCCTGGACCCAGAACGGGTGGGAAGAGATCTGTCGAGGAAAACGCCTTTTGGAACGAGGCGGCAAGCAAGGGGGGGATGGGGATGCGTTTTCCAAGCATCCGAAAACGAATTTTGCTTGCGGCGCGAAGGACGTTAAGTGAACAGGGGAAAAAGAAGGAGGGCGGGCGCGGCGGGAGGGGGGGGGGGGGGGGAATGCGTTTCCAGCTCATTCCAAACGTATTTTGCTTGCAGGGAGGAAGGAAGGGGATCAACACGTGCAACGCGCGTTAACACGCAAGCATCCAACACGCGTGTGTTTTTAGAGCTTAGTTAGGGAGAAACCCAGCAACTCCAACTACTCTCCCAAAACCCTGGCACAGGTATGGCTCAGGAGGACAAGGACGTGCTGGCCTATTTCACGCGCCTCGTGCAGGACAATAGACCCTCAGCATCAGCCCCGAGAGGTTAGGGTTTTAAGTTTTAAGGGTTAAGGGCTTAGATCAGGGTCACCTAGACCCGAAACCGTAGACACGAAACCCTAAGCCCAACAACCCGAAACCCTAGACCCGAAACCCGAAACCCGAAAACCCTAAACCCTAAACCCTAAACCCCAAGCTAAACCCATGGGGTTTGAGGTTTTGGGGCGTGGGGTTTGGACCACCAGATTTCAGGGCTCACAGCTCAGCAGTGGACAGCCATTCCATGCGACATTGCGAGGGTGTGTTTCTGTGCACTTCTGAAAAGTGCCCTAAACCCTAAACCCTAAACCCTAAACCCTAAACCCTAAACCCGCCTTTCAGCAGGACCCTGAGTCTGCCGCAGAGTTGCCGGCAGCATTGGCGACAACGCAGGGCGCCCTCCCCTGCAGGAAGCCTCAGGCGGGGACCTGGCGAGCATCCCCAAACTCAAGCTCCAACGGGTTTAGGGTTTAGGGTTTAGGGTTTAGGGTTTAGGGTTTAGGGTACCCTAAATCCGAAGCCTGCTTTGCAGGTTGGATTCACCGGCTATTGGGAGCAAGGACAACCAGCTCTCAGCCCCTTCGGAAGCAGTTTGGTTTGTTCAACCCTAAACCCTAAACCCTAAACCCTAAACCCTATAAACCCTATAAACCCTATAAACCCTATAAACCCTATAAACCCTATAAACCCTGTAAACCCTGTAAACCCTATAAACCCTATAAACCCTATAAACCCTATAAACCCTATAAACCCTATAAACCCTAAACCCTAAACCCTCTTAAAACCAAGAAGGGCACCCTTTGTTTTTTTTAGGTTACTCTTGGGTCTAGTATCTAGTTTAGAGGCTCCACGTAGAGTACAGCGGGTCGAGGGCTTCAGAGTTCAGCTTCTCTTCTACCCGAGTTTCCCAACCCAGAGGGTCCACTGACAGTACATGGTATTAGGTACCGAAAGTCATACTGCTATGGAGGGTGTTGGGTACCTATTCCAGTTCGAAATCTTTCATTGGGGATCCTCTCAAGGTTCCTTGCACATGGCAAACCTCCTGAGGCAAGTTTCCCCTGCCGTGGAATTGGAGCTCCTCGTATGACGAGGCATGGTCTCCCCTTCGACCGGGGTTTTTGGTAGACCCAAAATTGCTCCAGGCAGACACGGAAATCTTAAGGGAGGTGCCAAGCATTCCCTTTAGGAGTACTTGGACTGCTTGGGAGAGTTACAGCAGGGGCGATGGCACTCGTTTCGCACCCCTACACCCTAAACCCCAAACCCGAAACTCTAAACCCTCAACCCTAAACCCTAAACCCTAAACGTCCAAGCCTGAGTCCTGCCCCCACAGGAGATATGGTCTGCCCTCTGGGACCAGTCGGAGCGACTGGTGCAAGCCGCGCTGCATCGCAACAGCTGACATGGCGCACACCATGTGACCTCTTGGGTAAAGGGTTTAGGGTTTAGAGCTACTTGAAGGTTCATGGGCAGCTACAAGTGGTGTTATGAGTGCCCTCCCAAGGAAGGGTATAGGTATATTTTATAGGGCGTGCCTAGGCCCTCCTGCTTGGGGTTAAGAATATCTACTATATATGTGGATAGATGCTACATGGACTCCGTGTGACTTAGGGAAAGGTCTGACGCAGAAACAGTGCTCACACTGGCACAGTGACTGGCTCTGCTGTCAGTCAGGCCCCACTTGGAGGCACCAATTTTCAGATTTCAGCAAATCCTTGAGCATTTACAGCAATGCTCTTTCAAAGAGACCTCTGCAAAGAGTGGATGTCTCCAGGATTTTCCTGGCTTCGCCTGAGGTGATCTGCCGGTATTTTCTCGGGTCGTCAGAAACGATCGCGTGCGCATCATCCCCAATCTCCAGACATCGATGTCCTTTGGAGTTGAGGGCTTAGGGTTTAGGCCTAGGCACCCAAGATGCAATACTACTATGTGCTTAAGTACCCCAAAAGAATAAAACGCAACAATCCCTATTACCCTTAATGAGGAAGAATAAGTTTTTTTGTTGTATAATGTTATCGGGGTTCTTAAGCAATTAGTAGAATATCACCGGACCCTGGATGTAAGTTGCATCAGAAAGATCCCGATCCCAGAAGGCCTCATTCCCCTCAATTGAGCAGCGTATGCTGGCACCTTCAACTACGTAGGGGTCCCTATGATGACTTAAAGTATAGTAGTAGAGGGTATATGACCCCCAATTTGGGTAGGGTTCTTATACCATAATCGGAAGTAAGTATAGTAGTACAGGGTTAGGTATATTTCTTCAGGGGTATTGCATGGGCTTGCAATACCCAAGCCTCCAGTCCCTGATTTATACAATTCAAAAAGGGCAGATATACCCGAGAGTTATAAGGCACGCTTCCATTTGTTTAAAACAGGGCAGAGAGGTTCACAGGGGTATATCTGCCAAACACAAGAACTAGAAGGCAAGCTTCCCTTTAGGGTTTAGGGTTTAGGGTTTAGGGTTTAGGGTTTAGGGTTTAGGGTTTAGGGTTTAGGGTTTAGGGTTCTGAATAGGGCAGAGAGGTTACTTTACAGGTTCTGGTATACAGTAGCCAAGCCCCAAGAGGGTACCCTGATTATGATATATGGTTACTGTGCTACCAACAAAACCCCCGAACCCTACAGACCCACATTTCGATCACGTTTGCTTCCCTAAACCCTAAAGCCCGCAAAACCCTAAACTTTACAACCCTATACAACCCTAAACCCTAAACCCTAAACCCTAAACCCTAAACCCTAAACCCTAAACCGGTGAACCTGAGGGAGCCCCCTCAACTCAAGATGTCGCGTCACAGGAGATGGGTGCGCAGCAGGAGCAGCACAAGGCAAGGCATGGTCCCAGTCGACTGAGTTTTTTGGGTTCAGGGTTTAGGGTTCAGGGTTTAGGGTTTAGGGTTTAGGGTTCAGGGTTTAGGGTTTAGGGTTTAGGGTTCAGGGTTTAGGGTTCAGGGTTTAGGGTTTAGGGTTTAGGGTTTAGGGTTTAGGGTTTAGGGTTTAGGGTTCAGGGTTTAGGGTTTAGGGTTTAGGGTTTAGGGTTTAGAGTTTAGGGTTTTAGGGTTTAGGGTTTAGGGTTTAGGGTTTAGGGTGAAGCCTGAAGCACGCCTACACCCTCAGCATGTTCCCTCCTATACGAACAGTCCATTACATCCCTATGAAAACTCGCTGTTCGCCCTAAGCCCGGAAACCCAACAAGCCCAGAAAACGGTCTCCGGACCCCAGGGTCCGAAGCGTGACCTGAGGCGGGATGTGGGGAGAAATCCCTGGCCCCACCTCGAGATTTTTAAACGGGAAAGTCTACCTGGGTTTAGGGTTTAGGGTTTAGGGTTTAGGGTTTAGGGTTTAGGGTTTAGGGTTTAGGGTTTTTAGTGTAGGGGGGAGCACATTCTTTTGTCAAGGTTGTTCTAGGTATGGCCCCGATGGTGAACCCCAAACTTTTGCCGGGCCTCGATCTCTCTCACGTGCGAGTCACGCTGCTGCGAACAACCCGAAGCCCGACGCTTTAACACGGTTTAGGGTTTAGGGTTTAGGGTTTAGGGTTTAGGGGCAACCCTGAGCCCCAATCTCTTAAACCGAAACTTGGCATGCCCCCCCCCCCCCCCCTGCCCTTATACCAACAGTCCTTAGTAGGAATTACAATGGGGGGTATTACAATCCCTATTCTGACCAGTTCGTATAAATGGGAACATCGCGAACCGAAGCCCTTCTTGAACCCTATGCCCAAGTGAAGGGGCACAATGCCACGCCCGAAACCTTAAACCCTTGCATAAGCCTTTAAACCCTTCGACACAACCCTTAAGCCCGTCAACCCTGAAAACCCTTAAACCCTTAGAACCCTTAAACCCTCGAAACCTATAAGCCCTTAAACCCGAAACCCCTTAAACCCTTAACCCTTAAGCCCTTAAACCCTTAAACTCTAAAGGGCGCCAGGTGTAGGGCTTTACTTGTCATCTAGGGTGCCCTTAAATGGGGACCCCTCCCATACCCCTTATATATCCTGTGCAACCCAAGGGCCCATACTTCAGAACCCAAAGGAGGTAAGGGACCATCCCAAAACCCTGAACCCTAAACCCTTGACCGATAACTACCCCTAGATTGTCAGGCCGAGTGCGTGCAGCTTCAGAGCAACTCTGAGGCCGGCGTGACGGCAACACCGAAGTCACGGGTCTTTGGGGTTTAGGCCCTCAAGTTTGGGGTTTGGGGTTTTGGGGTTAGGGGTTTAGGTTTGGGGTTTGGGGTTTGGGGTTTGGGGTTACGGGGGATTAAGATGACTGAATAGCCCCAACCTTCAGTTTGGTAGGTTGTGTGCGTCACACCTTTCCATAGGAGAATCTGCAAGCAATTTGGTCACTGACTGGTGTGTGCCCCTTGCAAACCAAGGGATGCTTCCCTTCGTTGCGGGTATACAGGCTACTCAAGGTTGGGCTTAGAACCGTATTTCCCCTACCGCCCTAAAACCCGAACCAACCCTGGACCCTGAACCCTCAACTCAAAACCCCAAGAGGGGGAGGGGGGGTAGCGCTTCTAGCTCGCTCTATGTCCTGAATGATTAGCCTTCCTCAATGGCTACACCTCACATCAAAGCCACCCCAGGACCTTTGCGCCCTAATTTACGATTTGTTGTAAGAATCCCCCGAAAGAATACAAGTATTCTTCCTAAAAAAGGTAATATGAGGATGATTATCATTTGTTCCGTTGGGGGGTTCTGAAGCAAGTAGTAGTAATCTGTGGTCGCAACACTCAGCCTTATCCCTTAAAGAAAGCAGGGTCCCACGATGGATACCCTAGAACCTATCAAAGTATTTAAGCTGTAGCCCTTCTTTCAACCCTATAAGCCCTAAACCTTAAACCCTAAACCCTAAATCCCGCCACTTGTTGTCAAGAAATATGCAAACCCGTCATCTCTGCAAGAACTGTTTGGTTCAAGCGCTGCCTCTGTCTCATCACAAGAGATGGCCGCGGAATCCAAGGACATCTAGGGGTCGGGTTTGGGGTTGTTCAGGTTCTTCTGGGTTTTTGTATGAGTTGCTTCCTTGTGCTTTTGGCGTGTGTGAACGATGTAACTATTGAGTTTTTGTGTCATAAAGTACCTTTCTCTGGACTGCTTCTCATTCCCGGAGGAGCTTGCTCGCAATGCCTATGTCATGGAGCAACTCGACAGAAGTCGAAGCCTACACCTTCTCCCAGCGTTTGGGTTCGGATCCCAAAATGACATTCAAAAAGACCTGCCCCAGCTTCCATCTTGGTTGCTTCATGTGGATCCGGCACTCAGCCCTACACATGGGGAAGTTTAGGCCAGCTAGCTAGCTTCCTCACAGACCGTCGGCCGGGTGTGGGGGGGCACACGACCGCAGTAGTCTTGAGCACGCTTTTGGACAAAGAGGCTTTGGGCCCAAGGCGTATGACAGCAGAGCCGATGCGATGTGGCACGCTGGGGGTGTGACAAAATTGAGGGAGCAGCACTTCTGGTAGGAATGTGCCATTTGAGGGGAGGCCTTGTGAACTTGTGCACAAGTGAGTGCAATGATGGTTGCTCCATGACTTTTGCGAACGCTCATGCTCTTCGGCCGGTATCCGCTGCGCATGTTCGGCGTCATCCCTGTGTTTTTAGACATGTTTGATGCACTTTCCGGCCAGAGCGGGCACCCATGTCAGGAAGAGTTGCAAAGGATTCACAGACAACCACTGCCAGAAGCATGTCCCTAAACCTTAAATCCCAACACATGCAGCAGGACGTTTTGGGGTTTGAGAGCCTTGCAAGGCACTGCGTTCTTTCGCCAAATCACGATTTTTGTCAAAGCCGACAGGGGGAGCTTAAAGCACGCAACCCTACGCTACTTTTAATTGCTTAAGAGCCACCAAAAAACAAAAAAAAAATCTTCCTTAGAAGGGTAATGTAGAGATTATTGTGTTTTTCATTCTGTCGGGGTTCTTAAGCAGTAGGAGTACAGGCATGAGCCCAGCCCAGTGAAAAAGATCAAAACCCTCCTGTAGCCAAAAAAATGCAGGCCCTCTAAACCCTAAACCCTAAAACCTGAACCCTAAACCCTAAACCCTAAACCCTAAACTTGAACGCCCCAAAGGTACCCATCAGAGAAGCTGAGCTTTCGAGAGCACTTCTCCTCGCTTTTGCTGAGCGGCGACTGGGGTTTGCCCCTAAGCATGACAACTGGAGGAGGGCGGTTCAGGGTTTCAGGGTTTAGGGATTCGGCTTTCGGCTTTCGACTTTTGGCTTTCGGCTTCGGCTTTAAGGTTTAGGGTTTAGGGTTTAGGGTTTAGGGTTTAGGGTTGAGGGTTTAGGGTTGAGGGTTTAGGGTCAAAGGTCAAGGGTTCGAGGGTTCCAGGTTGGCCGTGAGGATATTTCTCATGTTCTCTGATTGTGTGCCAGAGCATACCCTAAACCCTAAACCCCAAACCCCACACCCCAAACCCCTAAACCCTAAACCCCAAACCCCAAACCCTAAACCCCAAACCCTAAACCCTAAACCCTAAACCCTAAACCCTAAACCCCCCATGTAAGGACGCTGCTGGAGCTTGGAAGCCTGGGTTCCCTCGTGGCCGCTGCCTGGACCGCTGGCTGACACGGCTTGCATCGTTGGCTGTTTAGGGTTTAGGGTTTAGGGTTTGGGGTTTAGGGTTTGGGGTTTGGGGTTTAGGGTTTAGGGTTTAGGGTTTGGGGTTTAGGGTTTAGGGTTTAGGGTTTAATCCGAGCTCCTGTTTAATTGGTGGGGCCCCCCCCCCCCCCCCCCCCCCCCCCCACAATAAGGAAAGCAGGGTTCCACAATAGTTGGACCATGGCCCCGTATGGTTTCTCTATTAAAAAACAATAAGAACGTAGGGCGAGAGGTGCAGCCTTAGCAGAAGAAAAAAAGCTTTCCGAAAGGCAGAGTTTCAAAAATTTGACAACCCCCCCAGAAAAAATTCTTTAAATGTGGAGGGTTTGGCCCATACGAAATCCATCGTAATGGAAAGTAGTCTTCCGGCGGGAATCCGGGCAAAATAAATTTCTTTAAATATGGGGGGTTAAATTAAACAGGAGCTCGGATTAGGGTTTAGGGTTTTGGGTTTAGGGTTTGGGGTTTAGGGTTTAGGGTTTTGGGGTTTAGGGTTTAGGGTTTGGGGTTTAGGGTTTGGGGTTTGGGGTTTGGGGTTTAGGGTTTAGGGTTTGGGGTTTAGGGTTTGGGGTTTAGGGTTTGGGGTTTAGGGTTTGGGGTTTGGGGTTTGGCGTTTAGGGTTTAGGGTTTGGGGTTTGGGGTTTGGGGTTTGGGGTTTAGGGTTTAGGGTTTAGGGTGTGGGGTTTGGGGTTTGGGGTTTAGGGTTTGGGGTTTAGGGTTTGGCGTTTAGGGTTTAGGGTTTGGGGTTTGGGGTTTGGGGTTTGGGGTGTAGGGTTTAGGGTTTAGGGTGTGGGGTTTGGGGTTTAAGGTTTAGGGTTTGGGGTTTGGTGTGGGTCTTGGGGCTTAGGGTTTAAAGCTGTGCGGTTCAGGGTTTATAGAAGGTTTGGCGTTTAGGGTTTACATAGGATTTACGGGTTTGGGGTCTCGGGCTTCGAGTTGAGGGTTTAGAGTTGAGAGCGTTTCTTTTGAGTCTTCTTGTTGGTTGCTTACCCAGAGGGTCCATTGACAGTAGGGTTCCGAAAGAAACTTGGTCTCAAGCCCTTTTTTAGTATGGTGGTTGGCACCAGTTCAGCCATGGCAGTCCATAGCTGGGGTGAGGATTGAGTGTGCAGGGTTTATTTAGGGTTTGGGAGGGGGGGGGCGGTAGGTGTTCGGGCCACTCACAGCAGTATATTCTGGAACTACGCGCGGACAGCCCTATGTTTTTTGGTACCAAACCCTAAACCCCAAACCCCAAACCCTAAACCCTAAACCGCAAACCCCAAACCCCAAAGCCAAACCCTAAACCCTAAATCGTAAACCCTAAACCCTAAATCTAAGCCCTAAACCCTAAACCCTAAACCCCAAACCCCAAACCCCATACTCAACACAGGATGCTTCCAGCCGAGAAGGTGAACGTCAAGGGCTCTTGGAGCCTGAAGGAGTGCACAAACCCGGGGATTTCAGGTAAGGTTTAGGGTTTAGGGTTTAGGGTTTAGGCTTTATAGGCTTTAGGCTTTAGGGTTTAGGGTTTAGGGTAAAGGTTTAGGGTTTAGGGTTTAGGGTTTCGGGTTTCGGGTTTCGGGTTTCGGGTTTAGGGTTTAGGGTTTAGGGTTTAGGGTTCAGGGTTCAGGGTTTAGGGTTTAGGGTTTAGGGCTTGTTTAGAGTTTAGGGCTTAAGGCTGCAGGTGATCCTACACTACTTTCGAGCCTTCAATGTACATACCGTTTCAAGCCCTGAACTCTTAAAGTCTTTCATGTTCACTCCGCGAATTCAGGCGTCTGCAAGGGCTACAGGGGCCTGGCTCACACTGGTTCAGGGTTTGCTAACTTGCCTAAACCCTAAACCCTAAACCCTAAACCCTAAACCCTAAACCCTAAACCCTAAACCCTAAACCCTAAACCCTGACCCCTTATGACCTCCCCCCCTCCCCCCTTCCCCCCACCCCTGTGCCCGTGTCATCGGCCTCAGTCCGCCTAAACCAGCCTCCTGCCATGGTAATCGGTAACCCTAAACCCCAAGCCCCAAACCCCGAAAACCCTAAACCCTAAACCATCTAGACCCCAACAAAGCAAGCTCATCAGGAGCTGGCAGCTTTCCTTTGCACAAAGGCAGCAGTGACCCGACTCTACAACAGCTACCTGGAGGTGGGTTTAGGGTTTGAGGTTCAGGGTTTAGGTTTTAGGGTTTAGGGTTTTGGATATCCGACTCACGCAAGAGCCGACATGGATACCAGCAGTATCCCCATAGAATCCCTCTACGCTGAAAAATGCACTCTCCAAAGCAATCCTTCTAGTTCATTTAATTAGGCCCTAAACCATAAACCCTAAACCCTAAACCGTATGTTAGATCCTCTTGGGCGAGTGCGTATGAAGGGCCTTGAAGGAAACCCACTCACTAAACCCATACTAGACCTAAACCAAGTCACAATGCACGTCGAGTGGAACCCCCCTAGACCCTAAACCCTAAACCCCTGTCTTGCCAATGGCCCTTCGCAAGTAGCGCTGTGATTCAATGGGTATTAGGGCTAGGCTTGCGACCG